CAAACCAAATGATAGTACCCTTCGAATGCTGTAAGATCCTCACCTGGTTTAAACTAAGACAAGATCAAATATCTGTTCAACCAAACAAGGAACTGAATCACGGAAATAATAAAAATATCTATAATCATTATATAACCAAAGCCAATAACAACACCAAAAAACCATACAACGAAGCAAACCCCATAAAACTGCCCCAAACTTTTTGAACCGAATTATTACGTAGAAAAAGTGAATACGATAACAAGATACATATATTGTCTTAGTTTTTTTCTTTTCTCTTTTACTCGGGTGTCCAAAGATATACTACTAAAGATAGTGAGGTTTCCAAGTTTTCCAACGAAGATGCCGGACCGCTTTGGCGGCACTGCCGCTCCGTCTTACATTCTAGACTTGGCGACCACAAGGCTCGTCCCTTCGCCCATTCCAGCAGCTCCCGGCCTCGTCCAACTCTCCTTGAACTGTTCCTCAGTAACACCTATACATGCAAAAACATCAATTTCTTAGAAACAAAAATTATATATATATAGATTTTCTGGAGCAACTAGCATATTTTTGACAATGATATATAGAAGTGCAATAGAAACGAGTCGATCACTAGCATATTTTTGACAATAATGAATCTTCAACCACTAAACCATTATGGTTGCTTGGAAGGTCTATATGACTGAATCCAAAACTGAATTTTTGTAATATGTGTCTCCCATGTAAATTCCGCATACTCCATATAAATAAACATTTTACATAAAATTTATTGGTATAATGTGTGTGGGCAAATAAACGTAAACGTTACATACCTTTGCCCATGGCTGCAGTGGAGGAGATTCCACCTTGGACGGTCTTAAGATAACGATCATAGTAATTAGCACCTGACCATTTCTGATGAGCCAAAGTGTCTACCCCATTGCTCCTCTCTTCTCTCTGTATCCTCTCCACATAAGCCAACATCCCTCTCCTCGCGTAATCCTTTGCAAATGTATCCACCACAAGAGCATCCGCATGGAAACCAGCAAGCGTTATGAACTGCCAGCAATACCCGAGCCTAGCGATCTGTGGGATGAACTCCATCATCTGCTGATCCGTCATACCGGAAGCGTCCCAGTTAAAGGACGGCGAAAGGTTGTAGGCGAGCATGACCTCAGGTGTCTTTGACTTGACTCCTTCTGCGAATTGTGTGCATTCGTTGAGGTCTGGGCTCGCGGTTTCCATCCAGATGATATCTGCGATCTGTGCAAAGGCCCAACCACGGACTACGGCCGCTGCGACCGAGCCTTGGAACCGGTAGAATCCTTCTCTGGTTCTTGGTAAGTCCCAGTCCCAGAACAGATCCGTCACGCCGAGTTTTGCTGCTAACTCTCGGCCTTGCTCATTTGACAGGCAGTTTTCGTACCTGATGAGTCCCACATCAGTTATACATTAGCTAGTGTATGATTAATTATAACAATATATCCATAACATCAGAAAATATGCCTATTGGAAAATATTGGTATGATCTTTATTTAAACATAGCATAGGAAGATGATTTGGCAATTCGATAGGAATTTATTTGTAAGAACCTAACAATTAGTGCTAAAAACAAAATAAATAGACAAACACTTCAAGAACTTAAGTGCTACTAGCACAACGAAATATATTTTTAGTCTAATAAATGTTTTTCACTATAAGATGAAAATACTACATTTTGTATAAATTTGGTATTATTATACCTAAAGTTCTACATAAAACCAAAAATGAAATCGGTGTGTAAATAATGGCTAATTTGATCAAATATTACTTAACTAGAAAAAGTGAAAACCAAAAAAGATTATATTTCCGAAAAATATATAGTTATATACTGATCCATTACCTTGCATGGTTTAGCCACTCGTTCACTCTCCGGCTCTGCTCATTCTCATTGAGGTTCATGCGCTTGATGGCCTGCACGACAGCGTCCGAGAAAGTCATAAGACCGGCCGAGCTTAGCCACTGGTCCTCAATGGATTGCAAAGCTGGACCGTTCTTGCCTACAGCCATTCCTTCAGCGAGAAGGGAGGACAAACTCTTGCCTCGATGGCTCGGGTTAGTCGCTCCGAGGATGAACTGGTGGTCCCTCGAGTCAATATTGGACTGGATCAGAGTGGCCGCGACCGCATCCGTTCTAGCGACCAGGACGGTCTCTGTGCCCATCACATCGAACTGGAGCCGAGCCGCGACAAGGCGGTTGATGTGTTCGCTGACTGCCACGAGGACTTTTCCGGCCATGTGGCCACACTTTTTGGTGACGGAGGACTGGTCCTCGATGTGGACCCCAGCGGCGCCTCTCTCGACGAAGAGCTTGCAGAGCTTCACTGTGGCGGTGGTGCCTCCGAAGCCAGTGTCTCCGTCGGCGATGATGGGTTTCAGGTAGTCCACGAACGGAGTTT